TTAAAAACAGGAGTCATCTACCACATACGGTGTAAGGACTGTAACAGCCACTATGTAGGACAGACAGGCAGAAGACTAGGAGAGCGCATCCATGAACACCAACAAGCAACCAGAAGACATGATGAAAATTCCTTAATTTCACAACACATGGATGGACTTAACCATAATTTCAACTGGGAAACTGTCAGCATTTTAGACCAAGCTAAATGCAAAAATGCAAGGGAATTCCTGGAAACTTGGTATTCAGACAAAACGTATCAAACCAAAAGAAAATAAGTTTAGTTGCCATAACTCAACCTCCAGATAATTCCACCTGGATGACTGAGAATCTTCATCAACATACTCTCTCTTATTCTGAACTTGTGTAGGCAAAAGGCAGGAAGATATAATGAAGTCCTATTTTCTGCATCTTCAGTACAATATATGAAAAATTGGAAGCCAGGGTAAAGAATTTGTGGACTTCCAGAAATTTCTAAACTACAATGCTCAGCAGCCTCAGTAGCATAGGAATTATATCCTTCTGTGATGTTCTGTAACGTAATTTTTTTCACTCTGTTTGAAGCAGCTTCCATAGCTTTACATCCATTAATTCTGTTGGGAGAGTAATCTCCCTTCTAATAGCTTTTCATATAAGACTTTCTTTTCCTGCAGTCATTCTAGTTTCACTTCAGTTAGTTCTTTCCTTTCCTTCCATGCTCATTTTTTTCCAAGATGCACTCTTGACACTACTAAATAACTAGAAGACCAACATTCAAAACCTCTTATCACGCTTAAATCCTTCACTAGTTTTTTCAATCTTTTTCATCATCAATAATCAAATCAAATCAATCATGGCTTTAGACTTATATTTACTACTTCACCATGTGTACATATGAGCAAATTTACCTAAACCTTGTATTCAAAATAAACAGCCCTTTTTCTAAACAGATATTCACCAAAAACCCAAAATTCTCAGTCTCCAAGTAACCCAATAATCTTTTCAGTATTCTTTTGTCTTGCTCCCACCCATCCATTCATCAAACCTAACAGAATATATTATTTCTTGGATTGCATTCCCTGAAATGTTCCACAATGTTACACAAAACATGTCTCTAGTTTTTCCAATACCGCTATTCACCAGAGCGTAAAATGCAACAATCACCAACCTATGGATTCCTACACTAGAGGACATCAATTCCTATTTTCTGACACAAATTTTAGTTTCTATTGGTGTAATTAAACCTACACCTTTCCACTCCTCTTTCATTCAGACCTTTTTCTTCGTTCCAGACACATAATCTCTATTTTTCTTATTTGTGAATTCATATTATTTACCATTTACTCTTCTTACATTCCAAGTCATAGTCATCACCAGATAGGCCTATAGATATATGTAACTCCCTCCCCACAATAGATTACACTGCCCATTATTGTTTTGGTCATTTGAGATTTCACATAATGCTTTTTAGTATGTAGAGTAGGCTACCAGTGTTAGTCACATGCAACATTGCCTACTAATGGTAAGTTCTGGCATATTTAACCATATACATAATCAAAACCAAAGCTCACTTTTATTCCTGTAGCATGTTCATACTACTCTATGCAAGCTCCAGACTGCCCTTCCAGCCAGTGCATATATTGCCTGCATCCCACCTACTTAGAGGAACATGGGGGGTACTGACACACATTTAAAATGCCAAAATAAACCCTTTTCAGAATTCGCAGAACAACAGATGCAACAACTATGGATCAAAATCTGGCGAAGATAGTTCAAAATATCTAACTTTTTACCAAGTTCTTCTTAATAATAGCAGAGCAGCAAGGAATCCAACCAGTGAATTTCAACTGGTGCTGAACACATGGAATCTTAAATTAAACAGGCACCCACCCCCCTTTCCCCCAACAGGATAATCGATGGGACAACCCCAAAGGGAAATGCCTGAAGTTTGGATTCAATAAATCGTTTTGCAGATTTTATTAGTAATAGGCTGGGAGAGGAAAGGCTTGCACAATGCTTGAGAGCCACTGACAGCAAATTCCCAGAGTTCTCAGCAGTATCTGTGCTGAAAAGGGAACTGTGGGACTGGAAGTCCATACATCTAAATCAGTGTTTCTCAACCTGGGAAGCTTTAAGACAGGTGGACTTCAACTCCCAGAATTCCCCAGCCAGCCCTTCTGGGTGGGGGATTTTGGGGGGTTGAGGCCCCCCTTTTTTAAACTTGCCAGGGTTGGAAAAAAAGGTCTTTAGGGTGGCCCG